ACTTAAAAAAAAGTCACAGTTACTCTGTAAGGAGTTTTTATTTGCAGAGGTGGAAGTAACAAAGTACATATACTAACATTAATTTTTTATTATGTATAACAGAAGATTAGTTAGCTTTGCCAGTAAAACACACTCACGCTCGAAGCGTGGTTTCTTCTCACACCACCTTTCCCTTCTTTTACCCTCTATCTGAACCATAATCAGTATATCTATACATACACTAACCACGCAGTACTTTGGAGGCCAAGTTGGTCAGCTGCATGTATTACAACTTTTTTATTCCGTATGCTCAGAATTGAATGAATATTATCTCTATAAGCTTTTTTTAACAATGTCAGAGATTGAGATCTTTGTTTAGTGCGCACGCCATAGATACATAGATAGGCGACGAGGACCGAGCAACACAGCAATCTATCGCATTTAGTGCAGAACTTTCATATACTAAGTGGAGAGAGCATTACGCAACTTAAGCGTCTGCCTCACCACATCTGGTTAGCGAATTCACTGCGCATATACCTGGAGATGTTCTATGACAGAAGTCTTTAGAGATTATACGTCTGTCCTCTTCTTTCTCAGTCGTGCAGCTTACTATCGACCGAACGTATTTTAATTATAGACTACAGGTATTATATATATATAGCCGTGACCAATGAAACTAAACTAATATGGGAGAACACTTGCTTCCGTCTACGCTTAATGTTCTCTCTAGTTCACTGATTTCAGTACTGAGCGCATTGCGAACAGTGTGTTCTGGATGACAACTCTTGATAGTTTTTCCAGGAGTTTTCAGTAAATTAGCCTCTATATCCTCAAACCCAAGAAGGTAAACCAAAGAAATAAAAAACTAAACATTGACAGATCGGGATCAAGATCCTATTCTCATTCACCTCCAACATCCTGAGATCAATAAAGGCCAAGTAATGCTTTTCGTTTTGTTCTAATATACGTTTAAACTAGACAGTATATGTATTGCACAATTAAGTTTCTTTAACTTTTATAGACCAGTATATGTTTGAACAGTCTCAATTTGTCTTTTAGAAATATCACAACTGAAGTTCTTCGTATTTTTCCGAAACTTAGCATAGCATTACTTTCTTGGCTAAGAAGCCTTGTGGCTTATGGGTATGTGTTTACTATATCATTTAAGATTCCATGTCACAAACTACATGCCATGTCACAAAACAATGAAAATCCGACAAACTTCGCTACTAAAGAGGCGTGCTCATATCTGACAAGCCTCCGCGACACCCCCTATGCGTATTTCATGAAGTGCAGTCTGTGGCCGCCATACCACCGAACAAAACAAAATAGGCTGGCTCACTCATGACCAACGCGGTATCGGTCTGCTATTAACGCTAATCTCTCTTTTTCAGTGTTGCCAACTCCTCAGTAAGGAAAATCGCTATTGGTTGTCCTAAAAGTCGCTAGAAGTCGCTAAATGACGTCATCGCCTAATTTGCATAATTGATCATGCTAATCTAATTGTAACCTACGCTGTTGGAGAGAGAAATAACATCGTGGAAGGGACATAAAGTGAGTAAAAAACGTCCTAAATAGTTTATTTAGAACTACAAATTAAATTTCTTTTAGCAATTATTGGTTTTTTTTAATGTCACAATTCCATCCCTGCTCCTTTACCCGGGCTTGGATCGGCAAAAGTGACCCGAAACAATTAAAATGGCAGGACCATCGTGGAAGCCTGAACAATTCCTGATTGACTCTCAGCTGATTCTTGGCAGTAATGATATTCCTTGCCTGTGACGTGGACGATGCAACCATGAATAGTAATGTCCCACAGTGGCTATAAGGAAAATTGGTGGTAATATCTTGTATATCCATGAAGAGGAGCAGTGTGGTGGCACTTTCGTTTACAGGCTTGCTGCATTATATATTTATACCTTTTAAATTTGTTCAGTGATTCTATCATTTTAGCTAAATCATAGCATTGAGATATTTTATAAAATAGTAATATATTTCTCATTTCAGTCTTTGTTGCCGCTCTTCATTTATATTACTTTGAAACTATCGTCACATCTTAATGATCAAAGAGTTTTCTACAGACAAGAAGCTACCCCACAGCTCTACCTATCTGTAAAACCTTCTTACTGAATGCTATTGATGTGTTTTGTTCTTTAATAAAATTAATCATAATACATGTAACTGATTTTTAGAATACCGTTTAATCCCCTTTTTAAAAATATGAAGCCCAGAGTATGTTACTGAAATTGTCATTAATACATCTTCAATCTTTGTTATATCACAATTTAAAGAGAGGGAAATGTAAAAATATGTAGGAGTAATTTCTACTTGAAATTACTCCTGCATATTTGTCAGATGGAACGATCTGACAAGCAAATTCTACACTAAATATGCCTGTTTAGAAAGCAGTTTTCAGTGCAGAGCTGCGTTCATGAAAATACCAACATCAGAATATGACTCTATTTATCTTGGGGTAACTGGGGTAAGCAAACTAACTGTTGGCTTAAAGCGGCAATTTTGTGTCCAAAGACTAAGCACAGTGTCAACATTTTTGAGTGAATCACAATCCTCTGTCTTACCTCAGCCTCAGCCCAGGTCATCTGTACTGAAACGTAATGGAAACAGCGACCTCCAAACTCACTCCAATTATCAGGGCAAGTAGCTGCAGATGGGTGAAAAAT